GACCATGATTTCAGGAGACATCTAGGTCAATTGGCATAACAAAGTTTATTAAGAAAATGTTCTGCATCCTACTTTGGTGAGTGGTGTCTGGTGTCTTAAAAGCTAGCAAGTGGCTACCTAAGATGCATCAATTAGTCCCAACCCACCTGGAGTAAAGAAGAATGAAGAACACCAAAGTCACAAGGAAAGCATTACCCCAAGAGACAGAAAGGGCCACATAAACTGGAGACTGCATCAGCCTGAGACCAGAAGAACTGGATGGTGTCCAGCTACCACCAATGACCTCCCTGACAGGGAACACAACAGAGAGTCCCGGATGGAGCAGGAGAAAAGTGGGGTACAGAACTCACATTCTAGTAAGAAGACCAGACTTAATGGTCTGACTGAAACTGGAGGAACCCCAGAAAGCATGGCCCCTGGACTGTCAGCCCAGCACTAAAACCATTCCTGAGGCCAACTCTTCAGTCAAAGATTAGACTGGACTATGGAGCATAAAATGATACTCGTGAAGAGTGTGCTTCTTAGCTCAAGTAGATACATGAGACTAAATGGGCAGCTCCTGTCTGTAGGTGAGATGGGAAGGCAGAGAGGGTCAGGAGCTGGTTGAATGGACATGAGAAGTCAGGGGTGGAAAGGAGGAATGTGCTGTCACAGTATAGGGAGAGAAATAGGGTCACATGACAATGCATGTATAAATTTTTGCGTGAGAGACTACCTTGAATTGTAAACTTTCACTTAAAGTACAACAATAAAACTTAAAATAAGACCAAAAAAAAAAAAAAGAAAAAGAAAAAGAAAACCCTGTGGAGCAGTTCTACTCTGTAACACATTGGATCACCATGAGTTGGAATGGTGATGGCAATGGGTTTAGCTTTTTTTTAAGCATCCCTACGTGGGAGGGACTATTATTATGTTCATGGTAGAGCTGAGGAAACTAGACTTGGAGAGCTTAGGTAACCTGCCCTAGTAACCAGCTAATAAGTGGCAGAATATTGTCCACTATAGTGCTAGAAGATGAGCCCCCTAGGTTGGAAGGCACTCAGAATACACAGTGACCACAACAGTGGACTTGAGCATACTGATGATCATAAAGGTGGTGCAGGACTGGGCAACATTTTGTTTTGTTGTGCATGCTGGTGCCGTTAGTTAGAGCTGACTCTATGGCAACTAACAATAACAAAAGTGGCAGAGCCAGGATTTAATCTTGGCCAATCTACTCCTGAACTCTTAACTCCTACTCTCTACTGCCTTCTGATACTTCCTTCTCCTATCTCCTTTGTGCTAAATCCTGGGCTGGGTGCTGGGAATAGAGCAAGAACAAGGCACACACAGCCCTGCCCTCGTGAATCTCATGGCCTAGCCAGTGACTAACATGACAGCTTCCAAACTGCTTTGACCCCGACTTATATAAAGAAATGTATTGTACATCATTATTATACATATTATACTCTACTCCCATTATATAAAGTTTCATGAAACAATACTTACTTTTACTACATATACACTTTGATATTTTCTATTTGATTCAATTGCATTTTATTTAATAAAATGATGGTGAGATCCACTAAATTGATTTTGGGACTCATAAATGGGTTGCATTTCACAGTTTAAAAAAACACCTGAGTCTAACAGGCATCTTCCTCCTGTTAGAAAACACCATGAGGGGACAGAAAACACCATGTCATCTCACCGTTTTATATTACAAGTGAGGAAACCGAGGCTCAGAGAAATGGCTTTGATGTTTTGATCAAGGCTCCAACAGATCCTAGCTACCAATCCATGAACAGGCACTCATTGAGACTTTCTGATGTCTCATTTCCCCCCTTCCATTCAGTGGGCCTAGGGATTATCCTAGGAAGGTCACACCAGTTCATTTATGGTAGTTGAGCTCCAAAGGGCTGGGTAAACTCTAGGCCACTGGGAGGTGGCAGGGACTTCAAGAGGCAGAGGGCCACCAGAGCTCTGACCATAGTGTTTCTCCTTGGCCTCCTGTCTTACAGAATCTGCCTGTGGGTACGCCTCGCTGTAACTTGAAGGAGAACTTGCTGAAGGACAACTGTGCCCCAGAGTCTATCGAGTTTCCGATCAGTGAGGCCCGTATACTAGAGGATAGACCCCTCAGTGACAAGGGCTCTGGAGACAGCTCCCAGGTTACTCAAGTCAGTCCCCAGAGGATTGCACTCCGGCTACGACCAGGTAGGGATGAGGTTCATCTCAAGGAGAGACCCCATACAGGTGGGCACAGAGCACAAGGTGTGGGCAGGATGTTGTCTTGGTGTGAGCAGGAGGTTGTCTTGGAGAAACAGCTCAGAAAGGAGATGAGGTGGGAAAAAAAGAATGGGTTTAGGGAAACATGGGCAGGAGAATGGAAGAAAATGGAAGGTGTTGGGACTTGAAGTCAGAGATCTGAGTTTGAATGTTGACTCCACCATATATTAGCTATTTGACCTTGGGCAAATTACTTAACCCCCCTGACATAGTAGGCACTCAAAAAAATGTTTGTTTCTTCTTTCCCCCAATGACTGTTTTTACCTACCTTATAGTTTTGTGTTGCGATTCAAATTAGATACAGAATGAGTTTGTCAGCCCCTTTTACATGGCAGAAACATGGGGGCAGAGGATCTGCAGATGGAGGCAGGATTAGGGTAAGAGACAGGTTTTTTGAAGCACTGATTTTGACTTTACAGTTAAATCAAGAATGTAAAATAGTACCTACTATGTGCAAGGCATGTGTTGGCGCCTTCAATTCAGAGAAGGGTAGACTCAGTTCTTGCCTTTTACAGAGTCTAAAGGGTAGTAACTGCTAAAATCTCTGTGACTCAGGGTGGGAGTACCTTGGGACCCGGAGCTTTAGACAGATGGGGATTTAGAGAAGGTGGAAAATTTTAGAATGGAAAAGAAGAGGGTAAGAATAGGAAGGTCAAGAGATTGGAAGAGGAAAAGAATTTGCAAGGAGAGAGGAGACAGGATCTCAGAACTTTCAAGTCTGATTTGATCTAGCAGTTACTTAGTCCCAACTGTGTCCAAATCCACTTACTAATTCTCAGAGGGAGAAGAGGAGAAAAACTAAAATCCTGCTGTCTTCCAGATGATTCGAAGAATTTCTCCATCCAAGTGCGGCAGGTGGAGGATTACCCTGTGGACATCTACTACTTGATGGACCTGTCCTACTCCATGAAGGATGATCTACAGAGCATCCAGAGCCTGGGTACCAACCTGGCCTCCCAGATGCGCAAGCTCACCAGCAACCTGCGTATTGGCTTCGGGGCCTTTGTGGACAAGCCTATGTCACCATACATGTACATCTCTCCACCAGAGGCCCTCAAAAACCCTTGCCATTAGTAAGTCTGTCTCCAGAAGCCAGGGCAGCACCCTTCTCTATTGTCGCAGGCAGGACCGAGTCCTGGTTCCTATTTCTAGTTCTTGGGCAGCTTTTGTTGGCTGCCTGCTGGCCAAAACATACCTCCTCTCTACTTTGATCTTCCTGTCAAATGGGCTAGTTGATCTGGAGTGTTGTGTCAGTAGAGTCCAAGGCTGCTTGGAGACCTGGAAAGAGAAATCATTAGCTTCTTGGTCTTGGTCGTAAATAAAAGGAGGCAAGAAAGAACGCAAGAGAAATGAGGTAAGAAGTAGAGAGAAACTTATGGATAAGTAAACAGAGGAATTATAATTTCAAAAGGATTGGTTCCATTGTTCTCATCATTGTCCTTCTCATCGTCAAGGGATGAGTCCTACAGGGTGAAAATCCAAGGAATTAAGTCCTAGAGGAATATAAAAGAATGTAAATGACATTGAACCCTTTAGTAGTCTGTAAATTGATAGATTGTGCTTCTGTTGACCCCTTGGCTTATAACTGAATAACTTATTTATGTAGTTGGTGGAGACTGCACAAATCCATGGATTGTAATAATTTAAAATGATGGTTACTGAGCCTGACAAGGTGTGAATTTACTCTTTAGTTTTCAAAGGTATATGATGTGACTTTTAACCTTCTGCTGGGGTTGTAAGGTTCCCCAGTAAAGACACTAGTCATCAATTAACAAGTAAACCATTAGGGTACAGAAATGCCCCTATTGGCCTGATTTAGCAATTTGTTGATGGTTTAAAAACATTAACTTATTGATAAACTTTTGCTTTATTGTTGTGTTAGTGTTACTTTAGAGAAGTGTTAAGTATAAAATGATAGCAACAACAATTAGAGCTTTTTCTAAGTGCTTAACATGTATTAACTCCTTTAAGCCTCACAACTACTATTAAGAGATATACGCTATTATTATCCCCCTTTTTAAAGGTTAAGTTTAAGAAGCTTGCCTAAATTACAATGGTGGGCCTAGGATTTGAACCCAGGGAGTCTGTTTCTACAGCCCATTCTCTTATCCCATAAGCTAGCTGTGGGTGAGGTTGATGTGATGCCTCAGGTAATTTGAAGTTTGGAGGCTAAACTGGCTGGGTTATATATATAGAAGTGATCTGGGCATACCACTATCCATATTTGTCCCCCCACCCCTTTCCTTTCCATTCCCTATTCCACCTTTTCCGTCAGAGTGTGCTTAAATTATCTCCTATTCATCCCCAGTATGAAGACCACCTGCTTGCCCATGTTTGGGTACAAACATGTGCTCACCCTAACTGACCAGGTGACCCGCTTCAATGAGGAGGTGAAGAAGCAGAATGTGTCACGAAACCGAGATGCCCCAGAGGGTGGCTTTGATGCCATCATGCAGGCTACAGTCTGTGATGTGAGTATGGAGGGCTTGGTGTACCAGGTGTGGCTGGCATGGATAAAAATGGGGAAGGTAGTGGCTCAACCCTGGGGATTTCTGGTGTGAAGTTAGAGATAGGAATGGAGCAAAGCCATGGGCAGGTATGAGCAATAACCACCTCTGCTTGTATCCACACCCTGGCCAGAGCTGACATTCCTTGAACTTCAGTGGTCCCAGATGTTTGCTGGGGAGAGCATCTTCCCACCTTCTCTGGAAGTATTTCAAAGTCAAAGCTGGGTTAACTTAACCTAAGCAAAGTGGGCAGATGTTGAGATGAAATTTCTTTTAGGCCAGCCCAGCTTTGCAGGTGGGCAACGTGACTGTAATTGAAAGATTTATGTGTATATAAGTGTGTCATTCAGCTATTTGAAATAATCAGCTATGAGACTGTTTTCCTAAGATAACATAAACCCTCGAGTTGGAAGGCACCAGCTTGGGTTCCAAGGACTAGGATGGAGGCCCTCCTCCAAGAAGACTTGTCCAGCCCTTCAGGCAGGGAGGTTTTGAGTCTTTGTTTTCTTCCAATGCATAACTAAAGTTGCTTTATTTTCTTTGCCTTTTTTGAAACAGGAAAAGATTGGTTGGAGAAATGATGCATCTCACTTGCTGGTGTTTACCACTGATGCCAAAACTCATATAGCATTGGATGGAAGGCTGGCAGGAATTGTCCAGCCCAATGATGGGCAGTGCCACATTGGCAGTGACAACCTTTACTCTGCTTCCACTACCCTGGTGAGATCCCTGGCACCATCTATGGTACCTATTCTCTATGCCCTGACCCAGGCAGTGCCTGTGTATGAATATGAAAATGGCAGCCCTTCCTCTGGGCAGGGTGTAGGACTTGTTTTCAACTTTCCCTCCCCAACTGGACACCCTCATCCAGGGTATAACTTGCGCAACCATTAGCAATGGGCCTGACTGTGGTCAGTGTTATTCCCACCTCCACCACCGCCAGCACCAGTAATAGCATCATGGCATCCAGAATGAACCCAGGTTCAGCTAGAAAGAAGCCCTTCCTCTCTACTCTGCCCTGATTATCCCTTTCTTGGAATACCATCATCACTTGTGGTTATTGGAAGAAGGTAGAGGAAAAAGGGATAAAGATCATCAAAAGCATGGAGAGCATGTCTTATAAGGAAAGATTAAAGGGGTCAGATTCATTTAGCTTGACGGAAAGGCTGAAGGATGATTTAGCTGATATGTGAGAAGACTTCTTATAAGTCAAAGATGTGGTGAAACCCATGTGAAATTGTTCACAACAGATTAGTAAGTAAATACAATTAAGCTCGTGCATATCTAGCTTACTGTAAACCCGTCCATACCTTGCTTACTAGTTAATCTGTCCCAGCGCAGGATACATGATTAGTGCTAAATGGGTGGCACAGTCAATGATGGCTGTAGGTATCTCAAAGGAGGAAAGTTCATCATGAGCTGGGATGGTCAAGGAAGGCTTCCTGGAGAAGGTGGGACTTGAGCTGTGTCCTAAGGAAGGAGGGCACTCCAGATGGAAGGGAGTGTTCCAGGTTAGTGGTGAGTGAAATTGGGAGAGTGGCGAGTGGATGGTTGGAAAGGAAAGTTGAGACCACATGGTGGAGGATCATGAGTACCCAGGCCAAGGTATTTGTCAGTAGCTTCAAAACAATGAGACCCTAGGCATGGCTGAATACTGTATTATTTTTATCAGTAATTTGCACAGCCAGACACCATGCAAAAGTATTATCTTCCCTTTAAAATGTTTATGATGTATTTTAAGTTTTTTTTTCAGGGTATATCATTATTAAAAGTGAATACAAATAAGTAAAATAGTAACAATAGCTTTCAAGAGCTGCTCAATGCTGGTTAAATTGAACTATTCTGCTATTTTGTATGCTATGTGCTTGTGTCTGGCTTCCAAATGCAATATTTAAATTCCTGTGGTCGTAGTGAACTCTCAATAAATGACTTTCAAAAACAAACAGAAACAGGGAGACCCAGCCCCTTGCCTGTCCCATTGAATCTGCTCTGAAGTGTTAACAAATTAAATTAGAGCAGGAAGAATAAGGTGCTCATTTTTGGCATCACCCATCTGTAACTCTTCATCTGTCCCTGGAGTTCATAATTGGGTTTGGTCCCAAATGAGCTGCTACTTACCTTCTTGCCCCACTTTGATCATGGGGTGAAAAGGTTTAAGTACCACCACTGTCTGGCCCACAGTCCGAATCAGCTAAGCTCTAAGACTTGAATCCAGGAATACTATGTGGATTTCTCTGTTGTTATTAGATGCTATCGAGGTGATTTTGACTCATAGAGACCCCATGTGACAGAGCAGAACCCGCATAGGGTTTTCTAGGCTGTAATCTTTATAGGAGCAGATCGCCAGGTCTTTCTACCGTGGAGCTGCTTGATGGGTTTGAACCACCAACCTTTTGGTTAGCATTTGAGCACCACCAGATTTCTCTACAAACCTCCAATTCTCTCTCTTTTTTTTTCAGGATTATCCCTCTCTGGGGCTAATGACCGAGAAGCTGTCGCAAAAGAACATCAATTTGATCTTTGCAGTGACTGAAGGTTTAGTCAGTCTCTACCAGGTGACTATGCCTTTGGGGCTTCCTGGAGTGGGGCCTGTGATGGGTGGACCTGAACCAGGCAGTGAGCCCAGGGGAGTCTGTGCTTGGATCATGATCCCCAACTAGGAAAGCCCCTCTTCCAACCTGTTTCCCAGGAGCTAAAGATTCCTCTCTGTGGGGCTCTCTCCTCCAACCTTGCCCTTACCAAGAGGGGTGTGTTGGTATTCTCAGTGCTGGAGGGGCAGTATTGAGTGGGATGAGGGGTATGAAGTGTTCTCTATAATTTTGCTCAGGGCTGAAAAACTACTGATAGTGACTAGTAAAATATTCAATGCTTTCTCCTAATCTTCGTTTCAAAACCTTCAGCCTGATTGGGGGAGGACCACCTTCCTCTGGTAAGTCCTGGGCATCTTTATTTTCCTTTCTAGAATTACAGTGAGCTCATCCCAGGGACCACAGTGGGGGTTCTTTCCACAGATTCCAGCAATGTCCTCCAGCTCATTGTTGACGCCTACGGGGTGAGTGCCTTCAGTGGGGAATGGGCCTGCTGAGAGTTTAACTCTCTTGGTATTACCCAGCAGGGCTCAGGTTTGGGGGTACTGGCTTCCAGTCCACCACATAGCTTTACTGCCACTGTAACAACGGCTTAGGGGTGGTGTCTGACCTCCTCCAACCCCACATGGGGGAAGGAGAACCAAGATCAAGAGCCCAAGGCTGATTCCTGTGAGGTGGAGGTCAGACATGCCTCTGCTCTCAGCCCTCTTTACCAACTCGGACACCAACTGTTCCTCCCACAGCACTCTCTACTGAGTTTGATAATTCATTGTAATGGCCACACTGAACTCACAGACCATACTCACAATTATGGGGTTTATTAGGGAAGTAACATTTACAATTCTCGGCTCAGGACCCCTTAGGGGTACAGTTCTTTCATCAGGACATCAGGACAGCTTCTTTCCAGCTGTGCTCACAGGCACACCTCTCCCTGGCCCTAGGCCTTTGCCCAAAGGCAACTCAGCTTTCTCTCTCCATGGGCTGGCAAGCTGACCACACTGTCTCCTGTGCTTGATCTCTCCTTCCTTGATGGTAGTGGGCTCCTCCTCTCGGTTCTGGAATTTGCTTTCTTTAGAGGCAAAACTAACTGACCAATCCCCTTGGTAGGCCACAATTACCCTATCACACAATCACTTGGGTGGGAGTTACAAGACCATGGCTAGAAAGGCCACACACAAAAGTAATTAATCACGATGCACTGCTTTTCTCTTTTTCCCCAGAGGTCAGGCAGTGGCCAGCATTGAGAAGATGCAGCCTTCCAATAAAGAAATGTCTCAGAAAGGAATGCCAGGGAATAGCAGGGACAACGGGTAGAGAGTTTAGAGGAGGTGGAAAGGAGAGAGGGGATGTGGCTGAGGACTGTGGTTAGATGAGGAGAGAGCAGGGCCCTGAGATTGTGGGGTTCAGAGTGAGGGAACACTGGGCTTAATGACAGAGAAAAAGAGGGAGCTGATTCCTGGGAAAGGCAAAACTGATTAAAAATTAGACAGTGTTACTACCCAAGGTGACTAGCATTATACTGCCCCTTGGTGCACCCATGAGGCCTGTAGGAAGGTGTTGCTGGTTTAGATTTTACCCAGACTTGCTTAGATAGAAGTGGGAACAGAGAGAGGAAGCAGTTTCCTGGGCAGGAAACAGAGTCTCCTGAGGTGCTCTGGAAGTTTCCAGGCAAACCTCAGCATCTGGCACAGCCAGGATGAGTCCAGGGCTTGGGATAGAATTGCCTCTTGAGCATTTCCTCTCAGCCCAATCCCTTGCCTTCTTTTGTCCCTTTCTGCTTAGAAAATCCGCTCTAAAGTAGAGCTGGAAGTGCGTGACCTCCCTGAGGAGTTGTCTCTATCCTTCAACGCCACATGCCTCAACAACGAGGTCATCCCGGGCCTCAAGTCTTGCGTTGGACTCAAGATTGGAGACACGGTGAGGTGGGCTGGGCTGGGGCCGAAGCTGCACCTCTGATCCTTCCTACGTTCTGGAGCATGTGTGGACACCCCCACTCCCTTCCTTCCTTGTACCTTCTTCCTGGTGAAGGTCATCACAAGTTAGATGTAATGGAGCTGCCAACTTTTTCCTCTGAGGCTTCTGTTGCCTAAACTTCCTTTCTCTATCTGCTAAGAAAACTTTACTCTCAGGATTTTTTTTTTTTTTAAATTTGCACTTAGGGTACCTCTGTTTGTTTATGAAAAGTTGATTGCAAATGAAAACATTTCTAACCTTCAGCCCGTAACCAGTCCCCAACCCTTCCTCAAGGCAATGCCTTTTTTTCCTCACATGACCAGTGTAAAATGGCAGTGTCATCTATTCCATAAATATTTATTGAGGCTGTGTGCCAGGCAAGGAGCCCTTGTGGCGCAACAGTTAAGCGCTTGGCTGGTAACCGAGAGGTTGGTGTTTCGAACCCACCCAGCTGCTCTGTGGGGAAAAAGACTTGGTGATCTGCTTCTGTAAAGATTACAGCCTAGAAAACCCTATGGGGCAGTTATACTCTCTGATATGGGGTCTCTATGAGTCAAAATTGACTGGATGGCACCTAACAACAACAACAACACGTGCCAGGCATTGTTCTAGCCACTGAATGTACAACAGCAAACCAAACAGGCAGAAGTACCTGCCCTCAAGTAATTGGAACATGCAAATGCTTGTTTTGCCCCTCCAGTCCCTCTAGGACTTTCCTTATTGATTTATTCTCTGCTTCTGCCTAAGGGGAGAGGGGTGGGTGGATACTGAGGGCGAGGGAGATCCTGGACACTCTTACACCCGTTGCAAGAAACATTGGCCTGCAACTTGCTTGCCTGTATGAGTGATGAAATGTGATGAGAAATTGGACATTAGATCCTGAGCCTGGGGTTGGCCACTGTGTGGTGCAAAATAGTGCTTTGTGTGTCTTGCTGATATTGTGTAATCAGTGTAGTTAGTTGGCCAGAGCAGAGTATTCACAAGATGACAGGCTCTGTTTTGCTTAGGCTGGTTTATTTCACACGTGGATTTTAAAAACAGCTCTTTATTTTATGACTGTAAGCTGTGTTGGACCCAGCCAGATACGTCACGACTGCACAACTGTCCAGGGCACTTGTATTTACTTTGCAGCCTTTGGTAGTGGGAAGGCTGAAGAGCCTCAGATTCTGGGAGGATGAGACTGGGTACTCTTTGGTAGGGCAGGGGTGGCTGCTTTTCCTCCAGGGCCCACCTGTGTCTAAATGAGATCTTGCTTTTCATCCAGGTGAGCTTCAGCATTGAGGCCAAGGTACGTGGCTGCCCTCAGGAGAAGGAGAAGTCCTTCACCATCAAGCCCGTGGGCTTCAAAGACAGCCTCACCATCCAGGTCACCTTTGACTGTGACTGTGCCTGCCAGGCCCGGGCTGAGCTTTACAGCCCCCGCTGCAACAATGGCAATGGGACCTTCGAATGTGGGGTGTGCCTCTGCGGGCCTGGCTGGCTGGGGCCCCAGTGCGAGTGCTCAGAGGAGAGCTACCACCCCTCCCAGCAGGATGAGTGCAGCCCCCGGGAGGGCCACCCTGTCTGCAGCCAGCGGGGCGAGTGCCTGTGCGGCCAGTGTGTCTGCCACAACAGTGACTTTGGCAAGATCACGGGCAAGTACTGCGAGTGCGATGACTTCTCCTGTGTCCGCTACAAGGGGGAGATGTGTTCGGGTGAGTAGAACTGAACACCCCACCGGTCCCTCTTACACATAGTCACACACCTGCGGAAGGTGGCCAAACAAAGGAACCCAGGTAGACACACAGGAATGCCCCGGGGACAGAGGTGAGTAGATGGTGTTCCACTCCAGTGGCAGAAAAACACAAACACTCCCCTTCCCTGTGTCCATGTTTGTTGAGAGTACAAGAAAGGTAAAATGTCCTATACTTCCAGAATGCTTCTCTCCCAGAATAGCAGGGGAAGCAGTGAGGAAACCGCAAGGTGAATGTCACTTTTTTCTTCTTTTATCTGCTCCCTCTGCTAATTTTTTTAAGTCACTGGTTCCTAATCTTTTGAGTATAAGAACCAGCTCCTTTTGAAGGTTAAAAAAAAATCACTGACTGATGGTAATTACATTTTTAGTACTTATAGATTTAGAAAATACATGATATCAGAAAGTATAGTAAAGTTAGTAAAAATTTTGTAGGATTTTATTTTTTTATCACAATAGACTTGGAAGATAGTAGTATATATGTATGTAGTTAAGATATAATACAGTTAGAACAATGCCTGGAAAATAGTAAGCTCTTGCTAAATGTTAGTACTATTTTATTATTACTATTACTACTACAATACTTTTTTGGATTCTAGATCTGTGCCATCCAATACGGTAGCCGCATGTGGCTATTACATTTAAATTAATAAAAATTAAAGTAAATTAAAAATACAGTTCCTCTTTTGCTCAACTGCAACATGTGGCTAGTGGCTACCATAGTGGACAGTGCAGATACAGAACATATCAAGATTGCAGAAAGTTTTATAGGATAGTGCTGCTATAGTGATTCCCAGCCTGCAGACTGAGGATTACCACTTTGAGCCTTTCTACTCTTCAGGAGGCTGAGTTGTCCTTCTTATTATGAAATTCAATAAAATCTTGAGGCCCGCTAATAATCCCAGGCTGGTTTCTCATTGCCCCAAAGACCATTCCCGGGTACTTCCCCAGCTAGGAGAAGTTGAACTAATTTTAATATAGTCTTTTCTATGTGCAGACAACACTATTAGAGGGCCAATAGGCAGTTTGAGTTGTTCCTAGGGCACTGGGGATAGATTTTGCTGGGCTATAACGACTGTGGCTTAATAACTCTTGGGACAGATTGATGGCAGATATTTGCACGTTGGTTGGATTGGGTTATGAGTGTACTCTGTGGCCAATGCAACAGAGAGATTTTCATTGGCTCTTATGGTGATCGAATCCCGGACCCAGTCAACTTCATTAGCACTGGGTTCTGACAGCTGACCTAATCCACAGAGATGTTCACTTTAACGTTAACATCAGCCTTGATTGGAAAGGCTTGATTAGAAAGGTAATTCTTTGGCAGTGTAAAGCATGCCAAAATAATATGAAACAACTCCTTTTTATTATTTACACATTGTTTTCTTTATTCATGCCAACAAATTTGAGAGAGAGAGAGATGGGAGGAAAGAGATATCAGAGAGTTTAGGGGGGAGAGAAGTCAGGGACACACAAATGTACATATACAAGCAACAGCAGAACATTTCAGTATTTAAAAGTATTTATGCCATATGCAGAGTACCAAAGGAAATGGATAAGTTTGAGATGGGAGGCCCATGGCGAGAAGGCTGGGACTAAGGGGGAGTGAGAGGGTTGCCCTAGAAGAGGCCTAAAGATAGCTTACTGGAGGCCCCGGGGATGAAGGGAGGCCGGCTCCCCTCCCTGGCCTAGTCTGGTGTGAGGCAGTATGGGAGGGAGCCCAGCCAGAGTGTGTTTCCTTTGGCTGCCAGCCCCATTGAAGCCACAGAACAACCATGCCCTGGGTCGGCAGCCCCAGTTCCTGCCTCCCACCAGTGCAAGAACAGTTTGTCCTCAGTGTCCTCCAGTCTAATTCATGAATGGAATCCCCGGCAGCTGCTTCAGGGGTGTTGGTGCCCAGCCGGTGTCAGGTCTGGACCCTGTGGTGCTGTCATCACATCCTCCAGTGACAGGCACTCAGGGACACACATTCCTTGAACCCCTGCTCTGAGCCATGCAGTAAGTCATTGTGGATGAACAGGAGGTCAATTCCTGACATCTAGGACATGACAGCCCAGCTTGTCATTGTCGCTGCCCAGAGCTGCTGGCCCTGTGGTCTAAAAGAGTGTCCGAGGGCCATTCTCTCAGGGTTTCTCCAGTCTCTGTCAGGCCAGTAAGTTTGGTCTTGTGAGTTAGAATTTTGCTCTACATTTTTCTCCAGCTGTGTCTGGGACCCTCTCTTGTGATCCCTGTCAGAGCAGTTGGTGATGGTAGCCAGGCACCATCTGGTTGTGCTGGACTCAGTCTGGTGAAGGCTGTGGTACTTGTGGTCCATTAGTCCTTTGGACTAATCTTTCCCTTGTGTCTTTAGTTATCTTCATTCTCCCTTGCTCCCAACTGGGTGAGACCAGTGGAGTATCTTAGATGGCTGCTCACAAGCTTTTAAAACCCCAGACACTATTCACCACAGTAGAATGTAGAACACTTTCTTTATAAACTGTGTTATGCCAGTTGAGCTAGATGTTCCCCGAGACCATGGTAGGGACCAATTCTGAGAACCACTAGTAAAGCAGTGGTTCTCAAAATTTATTATTATAAAATGTAGATTCTGATTCAATATAACTGGGGTGGAAAGGCAAATTCTCAGCAGGGGTTTGAACCAGAACAAACTGGGTTGAATTCCTGGTTGGAATAGACTTGGAGGCAACTAACAACGACAGCCCTTTAATTTGTCTAGGGATAATTCACAACACAAGGAGGTATCTGCTGGTTCCAGAAGTGAGGTGTCCTCAGGGAGAGTTTTAGGAGTCCACTGGAGAGAGGCCCATTATAGACAGGGGGAGGACTTGGAGGCTTCACGGAGGAGATGGGATGTCTGGTAAATCTCAAGGAAGAATTGGCTCATAAATGAGAGGCGTGGAATGGTGCGTCAGAGCCCAGAAGGCCTAGCTGCACCAGGGGAATGATTGCATTCCCTCTGGCTTAAGAAGCCTGCTCCTCCTTCCTCTTCCCTTTCCCTCTCCTTCCTTCTCTTCTTCTTCCTCCTCTTTCTCATATTCTTTTTCTTCATTTCTCACCCACCTCCTCTGACTTTCCTGCGAACCCAGGCCCAGTCTCCCTTTTGCTGGAGGAGTGCCATTTCTGTGACATTACCACACTGTGGCTTCCTTTAAGGACTGACCCTGCAAGAGTTTGGGGTCAGCCTGCTGGCTCTGGCCTGCCACTTCCACTCCTGACCTGGGTGGCCTGGCAGTCGTCTTCTCAAAGACCATTTTGTTTAGCCTCACAAATGAAATACTATGGGACAAGGGTTCCTGAGGAGGCTGAGGCCTCTGAGTGCTGCCAGGCCTCTGCGGTATTGGCCTTTCCCCGTCTGTGAGCCATGGCCAGAGGCAGGGTGTACTGGATGCTGTGGGGCCCACTCTTTTTTTTTTTTTTTTTAATTTAGATGAAGGTTTACAGGACAAATAGTTTCTCATTAAGCAGTACACATATTGTTTTTAACAAGTCCACAACATGTCGACACTGTCCCTTCTCAACTTTGGGTTCCCTATTCCAAATTTCCTGTCCCCTCCTGCCTTCTAGTCCTTGTCCCTGGACTGTTGTGCCCCATTAGTCTCATTTTGTTTTATGAGGCTATCCTTTGGCTGAAGGGTGAACCTTCGGAGTGACTTTATTACTGATCTAAAAGGGTGTCCGGGCGCCATACTCTCAGGGTTTCTCCAGTCTCTGTCAGGCCAGTAAGTTTGGTCTTGTGAATTAGAATTTTGCTCTACATTTTTCTCCAGCTCTGTCTGGGACCCTCTGTTGGGATCCCTGTCAGAGCAGTCAGTGGTGGTAGAAGGGCACCATCTGGTTGTACTGGACTCAGTCTGGTGGAGACCATGGTAGTTGTGGTCCATTAATCTTTTGGACTAATCTTACTCTTGTATCTTGTTTTTTTCATTCTCCCTTGCTCCCCAAGGGGTGAGACCAGTAGAGTATCTTAGATGGCTGCTCACAGGCTTTTAAGACCCCAGACACTACTCACCAAGGTAGAACGTAGAACATTTTCTTTATAAACTGTGCTATGCCAATTGAGCTAGATGTTCCCCGAGACCATGGTCTGTGGGGCCCAGTCTTAATTTCTCACCCTCCCAGACTCAGCCTCCCTTTTGGCTGGAGGAGTGCCAGTCCTGTGACACTGGCTGACACACCCATCCCCCAGCTACTGTGAGGGTTGCCTGCTAATAGCTCACAGCTGCCCTTTCTATGGAGAATTGCCCTCAGCTGACAGGAGGTGCCTTGCACCCACATCTTGGCCAATGATTGATGGGTTGGTGGTGTTGTTAGTTACTGTTGAGTTAATTCTGACTCATGGCAATTCCATGTGTACAGAGTAGAACCATTCCCAGGCCGTCACCTTTCAGAAGCAGTTCTCTGGGCCTGTCTTCCAAGTTGCCTCTTGGTGTGTTTGAACCTTCAACCTTTTGGTTAGTAGTCTAGCACTTAACTGTTTGTGCCACCCAGGGAATTCTGACTGATGGATAAAATGCTACTAAATGCTCAAGGTGGGACTAGCTCTGTGGTGCTCTTCATGCTGCAGAGCCCACTGTGGGATCAGCTGTAGTGAGTCTCTGGCTGAGGCCACATTTCTGCCGCTTTTAACTCCTGCACTATCCTGCTTGTTTCCTCTCTCCCTTCCACTTCCCCAGTAAATCACTTGAATAAGAATCCTTGCCTCAAACTGTACTTCTGGGGAACCCAACCTAAGACACAGACCTTTTTTCTTTCCCCATCCCCTGCTAGCCCAACATCCCTGCTTTCCAGATATCCTGGCAGCCAGTAGTGTTCCCCATCCTTCCGGGGGACAGACATTTCTTTCCAAGGCAGTGAAAATGTGTCTGAGCCTTGAATGCTGTTGTGGTTACTAGAGGATGGTGCTGGGGTCACTGACAGAGGGACTCACAGTGGCCAAGAGACACTAGTTGGACCCACTGGGAGCCTGGGGGAGCAGCAGGTGCTGGTTGGTTGCTGTTTGAGCCTGACCATGTATCCTGTCCTGCACCTCCCCAGGGTCCTTTTGCTCACACAGTGGTGTGGTTTCCAAACCAGTTCAGGTTACTTCCTCCCTTACTCCCTGTCTTTCCTCTGATTAACAATCAGATTTTTATTATTCATCCACCCCTTCCTGATTCAGAGCACTGGAGAATGAGTCACCTTTCTGCAGGGGTTTAGGAGCCAATTCTTAAATCCGAAAAAACCCAAACCTGTTACTGCCGAGTCAATTCTGACTCATGGTGACGCAGGCTAGTTAAATAACTAATAGAGGCGTGTGGTATTGCGAGTTAATGCCTGCATTTAAGCAGTCTAACCCCCCACCCCAGGAGTCCCTGGATGGTGCAAACAGTTAATGTGCTTGGCTGCTAACCAAAAGGTTGGCGTTCACCCAGAGGTGCTTTGAAAGTAAGGCTGGGTGATCTACTTCTGAAAAATCAGTCATTGAAAACTCTGTGGAGCACAGTTCTACTCTGATATACACAAAGGCTTAGCTCTTGAGACTCCTTTGCTTCACTATAACTCAGACCAAGTCCTGCCATACCTTGGGGGCACCTAGAGAACTGTTTGTTCCCAATGGGTAGGCCTCCCCCGAGAGTGAGCCAACCAGGAGACTTATTATCTGGTGGGAGAATGAGGTGGCTGTTTGCAGCCCACTGCCCTGGGGTTGGGGGCCTCACCAGCTGGCCCACCCCATTGGGCTGTGTGCTTTCAGGTCATGGCCAGTGTAGCTGTGGGGACTGCCTCTGTGACTCTGACTGGACCGGCTACTACTGCAACTGTACCACACACACTGACACCTGCATGTCCAGCAACGGGCTGCTGTGCAGTGGCCGGGGCAAGTGCGAATGTGGCAGCTGCGTCTGCACCCAGCCCGGCTCCTACGGGGACACCTGTGAGAAGTGTCCCACCTGCCCTGATGCCTGCACCTTTAAGAAGTGAGTGGGCAGCTTGGAGAGAGTTGGAATGCTGGGAGGTGGGTCAGGGTTCATCCCCAACTCCCCAGGTTTTTTGTCTCTTACCAAATCGTTAGGGAGAGGGGTCTGCCCCAGCCACATGGCTAGTTCCCCACTTTCCATATGAAAGGTTTGGAGAAGTTGGAGGTGGGGCCAACCAGGGACTCGAGTTGGAGAAACTCCTCTACTAGGGTGGCATCCTGAATCCTCTGAGTTGGGAGAAAGGCTAAACCAGATAACTTCCACAGGACATTCCGGTGCTGATAGCCTGATTCTATGAAAGGTGTGGGACTGGACACTGTGTGAAACAAGGAAATTTCACCAGTACAGTCCCATTAGGGGTCAGAGGAAGCCCCTGTCAGCACAAGTCCATAGCACTGCCATTCCTCTTACCATTTTAAGCAGGGCTGGCTTCACAGGCATGTGACCTATGCAGTCACACAGGACCCTGTGCTTACAGGGTCCCCATACCAGGCTTAATGCTCTGCTATCGCTGCCTTGAAATTCTTAGTAACTTTTGAACAAGGAACCCCACATTTTCATTTTGTATTGGGGCCCGAAGTTATGTACCCAGTTGTGATGTTAAGCTCATAGAACTAGCATAATGTTCAGTCTTCTGTCACAGCCCTGGATGGGACATTAGGAAGTTTAATGAAGGAGCTGGGGCCTTTGGACACTCTTGAATTGTCTTACAGATTTTTTTTTTTTTTTTTAAACTGAGGTGGAGCAGCTTGCCTAATGGCTTATGGAGGCCAGAGCTGGATTGGAACACACTTAGGTTTGCACCTCTCCTGCCTTAATCCCTGTTTGCTGTTTCCTTTAGGGGGTGTGTGGAGTGTAAGAAGTTTGACCGGGGAGAGCTGCACGAGGAAAACACCTGCAACCGTTACTGCCGTGATGAGATTGAGCTTGTGAAGGAGCTAAGTAAGTGTACCGTGACTTACAGGCCTACGCTGCCAAGTTCCAGAATTTTCTGATTCAATTACAGAACCTTTCCAACTCTCCTATAAAATGGAATACTAAATCCTACTTCGCAGGAATTTTGTGCAGGCCTGATGCACAGTAGGCACTTAATAAAAGCTGACTTCCCTGAAAGCCGTCTTGTACCCCTAGTAATCGTTCAGCAGTCCTTCCCCTTTTTGCTCCCAGAGCCCACAGATTCAGCACGACCCTGCAAATAACTTCTAAAGTATATATAAATCAGGCAACCTAGTCCTACTTCCCCAAGGAACGGAATATAATGTACCTTCATTTTACAGATGAAGAAACTGGGGCATAGAGCTGGGGGGTGGTCGCCCATGATGGTCATCACCTGAATTTACCCAGCCAATAACATTTAATAAGCATGCCTTTGAGGTTAAGCAATGCTTTGCTGGTTTGGCAGGAAACCTCCACTCTTAGGGATTTGTCACCAAAATCTGTATCATAAAGCCCTTCTTTTTCTGTCTTGCCTGGAGGCCCTCCTGGAGCAAGGCAGAAATACAAACAGTGGGGAGTAAAACTCTTGGCTGAACTGTTTTGGTCTGTACTTCATCTTGAAGGAGCCCTTGTGGCACAGTGGTTAAAGGGATTGAGTGCTAACTGAAAGAAAGGTCTGCAGTTTGAAACCACCAGTGGCTCTGCAGGAGGAAGATGTGGCAGTCTACTTCCATCAAGATTTACAGCGTTGGAAATCCTATGGGGTCGCTATGAGTTGGAATTGACTCAACAGCAGTGGGTTTGGTTTCATCTTGACTTCAAAGGAGATGGGCTTTGCTGCTGTAAGCACATCTGGTATCGTTATCTGGGTTAGCTGGATATTGGGTGGTGCCAGGGGGATGGCAATCTCTCCAAAGATAGCAATCTCCTATGAAGGCAGGAAACTGACACAGTCAGTCAGTCAGCTTTCGGGTGGGAGTTTTATGAAAAAGAGTCAGATATCTGGATCCTTTGGCTAATATCAGAAATGGGACTGGAGTGAGGGTGGCCACTTGAACATGGAGTTTGAAGGGGCATTTTGTTCTCTAGAAAAGACTGGGCCTCAGAGGGGAGAGGCTTCTAAGATGCCGAGGTATTTTTATGATCTAGACCAGGTGGGTACTATAGGTGAGTTGATAAACGTTTCTCCTGCCTCCCCCTCCATAATAATCATAATAATAATTGCTTATCTATGTGGAATTTTATAACTTGTTTAAGTATCTTTTATAAAGATACTTAATTAGATAAATGTGTATCAAAGATACACATTATCTTATTTATCTCCTAACATGAAGTAGAACTATAGTACCGTTGTTATCTTCATTTTGCAGATGAGGAAATTGAGACTCAGGAAATTTAAGTAACTTGCCCAAGCGAGGAAGTGGTAAGTTAGATCAGAACTAAAAAACGAAACCAAACCCCTTGCCATCAAGTTTATTCCGACTCAGTGACCCTATAGGAAAGAGTAGAATTGCCCCATATGGTTTTCAAGGACTAAGCTGGTGGATTAGAACTGCCAGTCTTTTGGTTAGCAGCCAAGGTCTTAACCACTGTGCCACTGGGGCTCCCAGATTAGAACTAGATCCTTAAATTCTTACTCTTTCCACTGTGCTATAATACCACTGGGTTACTAAGTATCGTAAGCAACAGTCAATTGGCTTATTAAGTTCAGGCCTGTAGAATGTACTTTGAGACTGATGTTCTAGTCCTGCTCCATCTCTTATTTGTTGTGTGACCTTGGTACACGCTTAATCTCATTGTGTGTCAGTTTTACCCATCTGGATTCATCAGTGCAGGGCATAGTGCAGCTGGTGGAGGGTAACCCATAGTTTTACCAGCAGCATTACAGGTTTTAGAATCAGAAGAGATGAAGCCTAGAAAAGATGATGGGAGTCAGAAGACAACTCTGCAGGTACACTGGATCAGAAGCAGAAATGGAAACTACTGAGAATCATTGAGCAAGATGAGAAATGTAAGAGAGGGAAGGCAACACCCACAGTGTGTTAGGTCCTGTTTAATTTAATTCTCTGCATAACTCTGTGAGGTGGAGGTATTATTTTCCTTTTATAAATAAAGAAAGAGAGACTCAGTGAGGTCAAGTAACTTTACCCAAGATCACACAGCTGGTAGGTGGTAGAAACAGGTTTTGAACCCATTCCAGAGGAAGGAAGAGGAAACAAAATGGATCTGTGAGGGGCAAAACCCATCAGTGAGGATCATCTGGGGCAATTGCCAGGCACGGTAGCCATTTGAAATCTAGACTTCTTGCCTAATGTCAGGCATAAGGTTTCCTGCCACATACTTTCCCATAAGTCTCACGACTGGGGTTTTGGTGGAGGGTGAGCCCATGTCCCAGGAATTGACTCATTTGTTATTTTTCCACGCTCCCTCCCCCCAGAGGACACTGGCAAGGATGCAGTGAATTGTACCTACAAGAATGAGGATGACTGCGTGGTCAGATTCCAGTATTATGAAGACTCCAGTGGAAAGTCCATCCTCTATGTGGTGGAAGAACCAGGTGAGTGAACCCTGAGGGCTCAGGAAGAGGGGGAACAATGCTCAGCAGTAATTTCCTCCCATTACCTATTTATACCGCCAGGTTAAGCCTGGCCTTACAAGTGATAAGTTAGGGGCTGTTGTGTGGATAAGCGGTCATATGTAAAGGTAAGTATTAGCAAGAAAGTGACTTGCTAATTGAGGAGACAGAAAAACAAGATGAAAAGAGAGAAGGTAGGTAAGGAAAGGAAGAAGGTATGGATCTCATCAAGGGACAAAACGTACCTTGGCATTTTCGAGGGGATTATGTCAAGAAGTAAGGAATTTAAATTCTACAGCTTTTCTACATAAGGTATCTGCTCTATTAAAAGTGAGATGGTTGTCAAGAGCGACATGCCTGCTGCTTTAGATAAAGGCCTGATGGTTTGAGGCATTGACCATTTTGCCAGGTTCATCACAAGACATGGTGATGGGTTTGTGGCACTTACCCAAGGCTACTCGGAACACTGAAAAGATAGCACTTGCTTTTAACGCCTTCTGGAAGCAGGGAGACCCGTTGTACCTCAGACCAACCACAAGTCTGTCACCATCCGGCACAGATTTGCTTCCTTCCCCTTACTACCTTCATTTCCTTTCTTTCCCCTAGACAACAGATTAAGATATTATCTTAGTTATCTAGTGCTGCTATAACAGACATACTACAAGTGGATGGCTTTAATGAACAGACATTTATTCTCTCACAGTCTAGGAGTCTAGAAGTCCAAATTCAGGGCACTAGCTCCTGAGGAATGCTTTTTCTCTTTGTCAATTCTGGGGGAAGGTCGTTGTCATCAATCTTCCCCTGGTTTAGGAGTTTCTCAGCGCACGGACACCAGATCCAAAGGACATGCTCTGCTCATCTCTCTTGGTAATATGAGGTCTCTGTGCTGTCTTATTGTTATATCTCCATGCTTAGCTCAGTCATCTACAGAGAAGACATTTAATAAATAGTTTTTGAATGATTTAATAGGACTGATTATTCTTTGAGGGCAGGTGGGCTTAACTCATCTTGGAATCTGTTAGGAGAATTTTGGCTGCTTGAGGAAGGAAGGGGATGAATGAAGGTAGAAGAGGGAGGAAGAAAAGTCTGGAGGGGCCCACTCATCTCACACTTCCTTTTGGAAGGGCTGCTATAGCCATGTCACCTAGGGTATTGGCTGTCTCCTTTGGGAGAGGAGAGTGTTGTGTCCCTGTCTGGGATATTGCTTATCTACCCTTCAAAGAGGTCTTACCATTTATAAAGGAGAAGGAAGGTAAAGAAAGAGAATTGCCTTAATTTTATTCAGTGACTCAAGGGAAAGTTGACATGGGGAAGGGGCAAAGGATGAGTCTGGGTATATATCTGTCGGGGAGTGGATGTGGATTAGTTTGATCATAACTTCCCAACACTTTCCTACCTGTACATATATTTCACAGATTTTTCCACACCTACGCTATCTATACCATTGTCCCTTCTGATTTCAGAAGGGTAGTGTCTTAGTCATCTATTTATTTTCTCACAGTCCGGTGGGCTAGAAGTCCAAATTCAGGGTGTCAGCTCCAGGGGAAGGCTTTCTCTCTTTGTCAGCTCTGGAGGAAGGTCCTTGTCATCAATCTTTCCCTGGACTAGGAGCTTCTCTGCGCAGGAACCCTGGGTCCAAAGGATGCGCTCTGCTCCCAGCACTAATTTCTTGGTGGTATGAGGTCCTTAATTCTCTTCTTGCTTCCTTTTCCTTTTATCTTTTGTAAGATAAAAGGTGGTGCAGGCCACACCCTAGGGAAACTCCCTTACATTGGATCAGGGATGTGACCTTAGGAAAGGTGTTATATGATTCCACCCTAATCTTCTTTAACATAAAATTACAATCACAAAATGGAGGACAACCACACAATACTGGGAATCATGGCCCAGCCAAAATGATTTACACATTTTTGGGGGGACATAATTCAGTCCATGACAGGCAGTATGTCTTTGCTTTTGGGTTTAACATTATTTCATCTCTTTACTGTAATGATTTTTGCTGGTGATCCTACTGGATCACTTACCAAAATTGTTTGCCTTCATATTCTTAGACTGAATCCACTACCTGAGGGTGTGAGGAACAAAGGTGATGACAACTTGGGTTGGTACAATAACCCCTGGGGGGGCAACTTTTCTGGCTCATCCTCAGTAGACCCCTCCCTCAACATCAGGAGAGGGACCAGAGATCCAGAGTCCCATATTTTATATCTTGCTGCCTTGTACTTCCAGGCTCTGCTCTCCTCCTCCTCCCCCTCAACCATTTCCAGAAGTCCCAGAGTATGGGAAAGAATTATTCCCCATCCATTTCCCAGCTCATGTCCTTGCAAATGCTCTCTTTGAAGGGCTAAGCCACTGCAGGGCAGTATAAAGAGTATTGCCAAAGGAGCTGGCATTGGCCAAGCAGAGCTTTAGCCCATGTGGAATGGGCTGTCCTGAGATGGGCCCTCGTTACTCCCAGATAAGGTTACCAGATAAAATACAGTATGCTCCATGCAACATAAGGCTAAAAAGTTATTTGTTGTTTTTCCAAAATTGAAATTTAACTGGGTGTCCTGTACTTTTGTTTGCTAAATCTTCCAGCCGTACCCAGACTTCATTGAATGTGGGTCACCATCCCGTGGGTCTTCACCACTGTGGCTGGGAGGGCCCTCCAGAGACCACCTGATTTTGTCTTCTGCTTCCAGGAAGCCTGTGTCCACTCCTTTCAGGAAAGATGGTTAACAGATTTTTTTTTTGTTGTTGTTGTTCCCTGAAGACTTCCTGGCATTCTACCTGTCCTGTTCAACTAACATGCAGTATTGAAGGGATTTTGCTTTGAGGTTTGAGGGTCGTTCCTACACCAATCTGCCAGAGAATTCATAATTGCTTTACCCAGAATTCAGTCCCTTCACTCCTGAGAACTCGGACTCTGGAACCTCATAGCCTTTCTCCAGACACTTCTTTAATTATAGACAGAGGTTGTAATTTGGTGGGTTGGGAAATAGCCAGCTGCAGTTTGTGGTGGTGATGGCTTTTGCATAGTGTGTGGTATACAAGGTGTATGTTTAGGGAAAAAGGCAGGAGACAATGTGGTAAGTGGGTGTGACCCCCTCTCCAGACTTATTCATACCCACAAATACAAATACCTAGTTATGTAATACCTGAGGAGTTACCTGAGTGAGGTCACCCATCAGACACCCATGGCTTATGAGAAGCTGAGCTCTAAATGATGAGCATACACAGGCTTGTCCCTTAGAGGGGTGAGGCACATCTGTCTGTCTTGGTTATTGACTGGGGTTGAACAGGAAGATGGCTCTCAATAGGGTTAGGATTGTAGATGACTAAATATTTTGGGAAATAATCCAAAATATTGTCTTAGCCTCTTGGTCTCTAAAGATGTTAAAAAGTTCATTGGGTTCCCAGGGCTCAGGGATGTAAATATCTGAACCAAGGTAACAAATACAAATGCCTACAGGGTTAGGTAGGCAAATAAATTAGTGAAAACAGCTGGGTATAATATACCAACAGTAGTAATGGTACTCTGTGCCAGGCACTGTTCTGGGTTTTTAAAATACATTAACCTGATTATTCCTTATAACAAGTTTCTGAGGTCAGTGCTAGTATTTTCTCCACTTTAATGATGGAGAAACAGGAAACATACATCCAGAAAGGTTAAATAATTTACCCAAGGTCACATAGAAAAGTGAGTGAGAATCTAGCATTCAAACCCAGGCAGCCTGGCTCCAAAGTGCATGGTAGCACAGATACAATGACAAGTCGCACTTGGCCTTGGTTTGGGGGAAAAAAATACAGAGTGGTGAGGACTGTGGAAAACTAGAGAACATATGTCCCATCTAAAAGGGGCAGCTGCTCCTCAGCTCTGGCCAGTTGCTGCCAAGTAGGAATGTTGATTCAGTATTTATACATCTTTTTATTTTTTATTTTTTTAAAGAGATGATGAAGAAAACCCTGAAATTTGGGGAGAAAATCTCATTATTCAATGTTGCCAATAAAATTTAAAATGTTTTAATGTTTGAACCAACACTGAGCAGGCTGGGCTCAGCCCGGGGGTGACCAACTAACAGCCTGTGATTTAAACCACTCAGGACAAATGATTGCCGTCCTAATGATCGCCTTTTTTTTTTTTGAAAGACTCCTGTTTCCTTCAGAGACCTTTCCAGTACTTTATTATTTTGTCAAGAAGACCGTTGTTCATAGTCTGTTCAAGTGGTTCCTGTATCACTCACAACCATCCTGCTCTGTGCTCTTTCCTGATAGACTGTCCCAAGGGCCCCGACATCCTGGTGGTCCTGCTCTCGGTGATGGGAGCCATTCTGCTCATCGGCCTTGCTGCTCTGCTCATCTGGAAACTCCTCATCACCATCCATGACCGGAAGGAGTTTGCTAAATTTGAGGAAGAGCGAGCCAGAGCAAAATGGGACACGGTAAGAGGCTGGGCTGGGAGTTTTGATTTCATAGCCTGAACTAGAAACAGTAGATGCTCAGGGTGGCAGGTTCAGCCAACATAATAGTTTCCAGTTCTGCAAACTGGGAGATGGCCTGACTGTCCCCTTGTCCTTAAGCTTCCTGGAAACCCCTAATTCTGTTTCTACCATACAATGACCATGAGTCACGTCAGTGAGTATCGGCTGAGGACACCTAGTGCCCGGCTCTGCTATGAATACTATGAGGAAATTAAAAAAGAAATGTATTCTCAATTGAGGGAGACAGGACAAAATTGAGAATTTTACATTGAGAATATATAGCATATTATACACTAACAAAGTCTAAAGCATTAAACCACAAATTGAAAATAATATAATAGCTAATGTTTATTAAGTATTTACCATGTGTCAGGAACTATTTTAGATACTTTTCATGTATAAACTTATTTCATCCTTGTAACAGCCATGGAAACCCTGGTGGTATAGTGGTTAAGAGTTCGGCTGCTCACCAAAAGGCCAGCAGTTCAAATCCACCAGGCGCTCCTTGCAAACCTTATAGGGAGTTCTACTCTGTCCTATAGGGTCGCTGTGAGTCAGAATCGACTTGATAGCAATGGGTTTTTTTTTGATTTATAACAACCTAGTGATGGCCCCTATTATTTTTCTCATTTTACAAATAAACTGAGCACAGAGAAAGGAATTAATAACTTGCCCAATTGTGGGAGGGAATTAGGTTAATATAGGAATTCCTTTGTGGGTCAGCCCCTTAGAAATAGTGGCAGGATGGCATTTCACCCCATTCTTTTTTTTTTTTTCCCTCAAATGATGAGACGATATCTCCCAAATTGGACTGCACTCTTATGCTTTCTTTCCAATTTACCCTGGTTTAATTCAATCAGACAGACATTTACTGAGAACCTCTCTATACCTAATTTTACTCGATTTTCCTTAATTCATCTTCTACATTTTAACTTGTTTCTGGACCTTCCAAATGGCTGTTTGACTCTCTGAAGGTCCAAGGTTAGGCTGAAAGTTTTTTCCTAAGGGTCCCAAGAAGGTAAGAATTCTACCACTGAACCACCACTGCCCCCTCCCCACCAAGGCTAAGTTTAACCCCTTTGAAATAGTGGCAGAATGGCATTCTATCTCACCTTTCCTTCTCTTCTTATTCATTCCCATTCTGAGAGCTAATGTATGGGTAAAATGAGCATTAAGCTGTTTCATTGATGGTATATCTCAGAGAAGGGTGTCTTAGGCAAACTTTTCAAATGAAATTTAATCTTTCAGGAGAGGAAAGGATCAAGGAATTCACTGTAAAGCTTTTCTGTTCTCTCCTCAGGCCAACAACCCACTGTATAAAGAGGCCACATCCACCTTCACCAATATCACCTACCAGGGCACTTCATAACAAGCAGTCGTCCTCAGATCATTATCAGACTATCCCAGGATTGTGGGAGTCTCTCCCATCGTGTTTACAGTGGAGAGTATCTACGGGGTGGGATTTGGGGCTTAAAGTGGGGTGGATTGGGAGAATGTCTGTATGTGGAGGTGTGGATCTCTGTGTATATGTGTGTATGACTGTGTTGCGTGTGGGAGCATGTGTAATTTAAAACTTGTGATGTATCCCGGATAAGGGGAACTCCTCAGCCTTTGTCCTCAGAATGCCTCCTACAGGGATTCTTCCTGCTTAGCTTGAGGGTGACCTGTATGGCTGAGCAGGTATTCTTCATTACCTCAGTGAGAAACCAGCTTTCCTTATTGGGCCATTCTCCCTGAAGAGAAGGGCTAGGCTGAGGCCCCTTATTCCAGAGGAAGGAATGCCAAGCCTCAGCTCTACCCTGATGATGAGTTTATGGTTCTTGGGACTGCCCCTCAGCAGCTATGGTGGGAACTGCTGGGCTTTGCACCCGGTTGTGTCGTCTACCCCTATCTCCTTCCCTTCCCTCAAGTCGAAGGAATCAGTAGAGAGCTGAACCATGAGAGCTGCCTGTGCCTTTTGCCATCACCTCCATTCAGCCTATAAGGGGAGTCCTTGCTACCTAATTCTGTGACTTATTGGGAGTGAGAATGGCAGGGTCACCAAGAGGTCATGCATAACCAGCATCCCCCAGTTCACAATCACAACCCTTCAGGTTTGCCTCATTGAGGGCTCCTGGAGGTTCATTTAGAAATGTGTCACTCTTAGACCAGCACCATCGCCTTACTTCCTACTTCCACACTCTCGCTGCTGTAGACATTTGCTACGTACTGAGGATTTCTCTCTTGACCGAGGGAAGTGCTATGGTTAGTGCCAGATGTCTGGCCCTGACCCTTCAGGCCTTCTTCCGTTTGTCCAGGGCACCACCACACACCCACCCCTGTGCCTCTGTGTACTACATCTATCCATGGGGCTGATTGCATTTATCTACCTCTTGGGTGTCTTGTGAAGGAACCATTCTTGTGGGTCTCTGAGCCTGCCAGACAAAAGTGCCAGGGTGGAATGATGGGCCAGTTGTGTCAGCATGTGTGGCGTATTCTAGGGCTGGGCAATGTCATTTTAACTCAGTCTTTAATTTGAGAGGCCACAAGTGCCATTTTATTTTATTTTTCTCTTGGGGCACCTGAAACCACAATGAGCCTTGTTTAATATAAAAGGACATGTGTATAAGTACACTTGTTTATAAATACAATTATAGTTGTAATTTTATTTGATAACAAGGAAGGGAACCATAAAAAACTACAGACTTGGGCCGGATACAGACACTCCTACCTGGCATCATTCCGAGCGAGCTGCTGCCCAGCCAGTGGGTCTGTAAGGGCTGTTTCTGAAAGCCTGTGGGGATGGACATATGGATGTGCTGGACCTTTCCTGAGGAGGAGGGAAATAGGTTGTTCTTTTTACTCCTAGCGATAGGTGCCCCTCACCCCCAGGAAAAAGTAAAAGACCTATAAACAGTGATCTGAGAATCAGAAGATCTGAGTCCTGATCTCAGTATTGCAGTTAAGGAGTCTTTAATATTCATTTAATTAATTTAACATTAAGAAAACCTGCGCTCGGTTTTCTAGTTTGAAAAATCAGCTTGGACTAGCTGACCTTGAAAGGTTTCTTTCAGTATCAGGATTGTGAGATTCAGAAGGAGCCCTGGTGGAGCAATGGTTAAGCGCTCAGCTGCTAACCACACGGTTGGCAGTTCAAACTCAGCCAGCAGCTCTGAAGGAGAAAGACCTGGCATTCTTCTCCTCTATAAGATAGCCTAGAAAACCCCATGGGGAAGTTCTATTCTGTCCTATAGGGTTGCTATGAGTTGGAACAGATTCAAAGGCACCCATCAACAATAACAGTATTCTAAGATTCTAGAACTTAACCGTGACATCAAACATACAGTCTCAAGATTCTGTAGGATGTTGATACTGTTTTTTTTTTTCCAGTTGGGAGGTCTCAGAGATTGGCTTTGGCAAGAGCAGATGTCATTCTATATCACCTTTCTCTATGAAAAAGCCTTATTCTTTCATCTTTTAGAACCCCTCCTCCATCTTCTGTTACCAGTTAATCTCCTGACGTAGCACTTAAGCTCCACTTAGCTCTTATTTCTTAATTCAGTTTGCACATATTTGTATCCACATATTAGGGAAGAGGAATCCATGAGAAGTAGCTGGAACTTGTATTCTGTATCCATGTGATAATACTGAGAATAAGCCTTAGAAGTACGAACAGGGCAAATGACTGAACTGCTGTGTCACCCATGGATTACTCCTTACTATAGGGGATGGGAATGTGATAGAGGGATAAATGAGGGAGGGGTGGAGATGACTGCAAATTCAAGAAGTTTTAGAACCTAGTTATAATCTTTAGCTTCTGAGATGTAGCGTTCATTAGAGTAGTAGTGGCACATTTTCTTTAGACAAGATGATTTATATGAAGAAACTACATCAAAGGGGGAAGAAAGTATATCCAGAGGATGGAAGCATCACTAGGAATCCTGTCTGAGCTTCTGGAATGAGGCTCACAGGCCTTGAAGACCAGCACTGTTTGTCAACCTGTTGGTGCGCTCATAAGATAGCACACAGTCAGTTCTGATGTTATGTAGGAGGAACATATAAGTAGTATTTTGGCATCAGACAACACAGCCCAAATGGGCTATTTTTGCCCAGCTCTTTTGGAGCTTATTTATGTCCAGTCTCAGGGTCTATGGACAATAGTGGAAAACTTTAAACATTCCTGACTTCTAGGCAACAACTTGCCACATAAGGAGTCAGTTCTTTACCTCTCAGCTATTCCTAGAACACCCATGATTTTAAGATACTTCTATTTGTTAAGTATTCCTGGTTGAAATTACTTAAGTGTCTTCCTAATTTTATAACCATCTCCTCTGTCTGAGTTGTACAATAGTGTATTAAAAGTGCTTAAAAAAAAATTGGCCAAAGGCTGTTCAGTGCTTCCTGTGTTGTTATTTCTGTTTCCTTTGGGTGAAAAGAGTCTAAGTGTCATTCCCTTGCAGAATGATTATTTTAGAACAATCGTTTCAAAATGTTACAGAGTGGTGACTGTTACAGGAACTGAAGCTAGTCAGAATCCAGAGTTGTTCTTTAGATTTTAATAATAACATCCTAAAAATGAGTAGATTATTACCATTCTAAGAGTTTAAGATGTTATTTTTTTTTAAATTGAGGTTTATTTAGTAATTTGTGCCACTTCCATAGAACAGAATGTTAATTCAGCCTAGGTTTTGTTTGCAGGAAGCAGACAATGGTAAAAGAAATTATTTACAGGATCATTCAAATGACCAACTTTTGTTTAAGGCAGTCAGTCTCAAAACGTGGTCCCAGGACCAGCAGCATCAGTATCACCTGAGAACTTGTTAGAAATGAAAATTCTTAGGCCCCACCCCAAACCTACTGAATCAGAAAATCTGAGGGTGGAGTTCAACAATCTATTTCAGTAAGCCCTCCTAATGATTCTGATGCCCGCTCAAGTCTGAAAACAACTGATGTCAGGAATAAAGCATGTATCCTTCTGGCCTAGAAAGAAGTTTATAGTAAGTCAGCTCAGTTACTCTAATGTTAAGAACACATCTTGGCTGATAGATTCAGGAAACCAAATATCCACCACACAAAATCAAAATTTACTTTTGATCCATCTTCCAAGTTAAGTGATCACAGGCTTCTTGGGTTCACTCACAGCCACAAGTTTCCATGAAAACCTAAGAGAAGTTATAGATTAGAATTACGAGGGGAAGAAAAAACAGCTAACAGGATTCTTGGCAGGCACCTATTTTTTTTTTTAATGTGCACCAAGCTGCACAGAATTTATTCACAGGAGATGGGATTGAAATCTTAACATTATCATCCCATAGGATGCCAGAGTAAGACTTTATTATTTGTAACTTCACTTTTTGCTGTTTAAAATTTATTGAGCACCGACAGTGTGGGATTGAAGTACTTTACACAACACCCATAACATAATCTTTGCCTCTGTGTCTTAAATTCCTTACATAATGTACATTTTCCCAGCACAGTACAGCGCACGTCATCATGAAACAATTATGTGGACACAGACTGAACCTTTATGGTGAACTTTCGTGAGATTTACTGTGTTTTATTTATATAGTAGTAACCGATGACTAAATGTCTGGTTGAAATGGAGGACTTTATGTGATAATGAAATGAAAAGCCATACGTCAAACAACATTTATAATCCTTTAACTCTTGGCATCTGCAGTCTGAGTTTCATAGTCACAGAGCCATTTAATGATCACTGGGCCCAATTACAAGCAGACGGCCTGGGAATTACAGTACTTAATTATTCACACTGATATGAAGGAGGAATAATGTATGCTGTGCAAGTAAGCTATTTAAGAAATATTGAAAAAATAATTGCTATTTGGTTTTGTGATACAATATATTTTTGGAAATATATTTTCTTAATTTGTTTTAGTTTGGTTAAAGCACACAAGAAGGCAGTCTTACATGCTTGCGATCAGGGTTAACCATATCAAATTTTAAAAAATCCACCCAGTGTGTCTACCCAATGACTGTTTGCATGTGAAGGGAAAACTAAGAGATCGGGAATATACTTGCCTTCTTTTTAGCTGCTAATGTCATAGTGATGTCCCTCCAGCCCCTTGCACAGAGAAAACATTTTTCAAAAGCTGTGTATTTGCTGACGATACACCAAAGCATGTGCACAAAATATTAGTATCTAGGAAGAATATTTAGGACATTTCAGAGCCTTTAAGCAAAGCCTCCATTGTTGATTATTCTTTAGCAGAGTCCCTGAAAAGAACGTTATAAGGAAAAAGTTTTCCAATTGATTGTGTTTTACCTAATGTATTAGTTGGGTTTTCCAGTGTCTCATACACAATTGACATGATTCTTTGGGGGGGTTGGCAGGATGAGTGTAAGTATTTCTTTGGTGGCCAATGAAGTACTTTGTTAAGAAAACGGAAAAAATGTTGATGGGTTTATAATGGACTTTGCTTTTCCTGACCCTTATTATCACCCATTGTGACAGAGTTTGCAAATTGTGCCCCAGCATCTGTTCTCCCCTTCTCACCAAAACCAAACCCAAATCCACTGCTGTCGAGTTGATTCCTACTCAAAGTGAATTTATAGGACACAGTAGAACTGTCCCATAGGGTTTTCAAGGTTGTGAATCTTTACGGAAGCAGACTGCCACATCTTCCTCGTGTGGAGCGGCTGGTGGGTTCCAACCACCAACCTTTTGATTAGCAGCCAACCACTGTGCCACCAGGGCTCCTTCCCCTTCTCACATAGGCCTAGAAAGAAGTTTATAGTAAGACAGCTCAGTTACTCTAATGTTAAGAACACATTTTGGCTGATAGATTCAGAATACCAAATACCTATCCACACAAACTCAAAATTTACTTTTGATCCATCTTCCAAGTTAAGTGGTCACAGGCCTCTTGGGTTCACTCACAGCCACAAATTTATAGTTGGGCACATGGCAACCCAGAATAAATACGATGTTTCCTAGCCTCTCTTGCAGCTGGGTGTGGTATGTCCATCTCATAGTCAATGAGATATAAATGAATGAGGTGCATGCAACTCCAGCAAGTGTCAATTAAGGGAGGGAGAATGCCTTTTTTTTCCTCCCTTTTCTTCCAGCAGGCTGCTGTATAGAGGTAGTAGCTGGAACTTAAGCAGCAATTGTGCATCAAGATATGACCTTTGGAATTGTATTAGTTATCTGCTGCTACACAACAAATTACCCCACAATTTAGCAGCTGAAAACAACAACCATCTTGCAGGGCCTGTGGTCAGGCATTCAGGAAGGGCTTGGCTCAGAGTCTCTCATGAGGTTGCAGACAAGCTGTTGGCTGGGGTTGCAGCCAACTGAAGGCTCAAAGGGGCTGGAGGATCCTCTTGCAAGATAGTTTACTCACATGGCTGCTGGCAGGAGACATTCGTTCTGCACTGGCTATTTGCAATAAGTTTTAGTTCCTCATCACTTAAATGTCTCCACAGGGCTGTTTGGGTGTCCTCACAACGTATCAGCTGACTTCTCCCAGAATGAGTAATCCAAGAGAGAGCAAGAAGGAAGCCATGCCTTTTATGAGTTTTTTAAGTGCCATATTATCCCTCTGCCATATTCTATTCATTAGAAGTAGTTCATTAAATTCAGTGAAGGAGAGGGGAATTGAGAGCCACGTCTTGAAGGGAGGAGGACGGTGGTAGAATAAAGGTCCTCCCAAAATGTCCATGCCCTAATCTTCAGAACCTGTGAGTATGTTACATTACATAGAAAAAAAATCCGACTTTGCCGATTAAGTTAATGATCTTTCTTTTGAGGTGCCTCTGGGTGCTACCTGAACCTCCAACCTTTCGGTTAGCAGCTGAGAGTGTTCATTAACAAGCCTTAAAAATGTTTAATTTCACCGAATTCGGTTTACACAATGTTCTGTGGAAATAATGGGGAAAGCCAGGAAAAATGGGCTTGCTTTTTCTTTTACCAACATTATTTCATCTGCAGGATGCACGAAGGAAAACTTCATTTCCAAAGAAAAAGTATCTTCCAAAGGGAAGCTTAGTATCCAGAAGGACATCCTAGCACAAATTTAAGCAAAACAGTGGGACAAATGGCTTTCGGACTGCTGTCCATTATTGAGTAGCAGAAACTAAGAAGGATAGAATCTTCTAGAAGAAAAGGAGGGCGGGAGGTATTCAAAGAAAGGATGGAAGACACACTTGAAGTGAGGTCAGACTATGGCGGGGCAGCGCACCAGAGCCACAGAATGAACAGAACTGCAGGAAAAGTAGGCAGCGTGTAAGGCGGAGGGCGAAATCGAGGCAGGAAATGCGGGGAATAAAGCGCGTGGAAAGGAGGTTCTTCGCTCGTGTCCAGGGCCTGGCTGTAACCCAGCCGGGCCCCATGAGGTCACAGGCCCTTATGAGGTGGGACCGGCGGACCGGAGGGTGCGGCCGCACCGCTTTGCAGTTGGCGCGGTGGCGGCGAGGTCAGCCGCTCCCCGCGGCACCGGAGCCTCTGGGCTGCGGCAGCGATAGGAGTAGCGGCCTGGATCCCGCGCTCTCGTGGCACAGTCTGCTGCGTGGGCGGAGCGTCGGGCTCCGTCAGGTGACTGCAGGGACGAGGCCGCGCCGCACGGGATCCTGGGAACTCGGCGGAGCGGGAACGTCGAGCCTACAAGGGGCCTGAGGGGCCAGCGGCGAGGATGGGCGGTAGTGAGGGAAGGAGAGACAGCCGGAAGAAGCCTGAGGGGGGCGGTGGCAGGACCCTCAGGGGACTGAGGTGGGGAGGCGAAACTTGCGGAAGCGGCGGGAAGTCATCTCATCTGAGGCTGAGGGAGAACACCACATGTTATGAGGGCAAAGTAGGACAGTTACGGAGATGGGTGAAGGTTCCAGAAAGAGACAGCAAGATGACCAAGTGGGACAGTCAAGAGGGGCAGAGTGAGAAGTGACAGGGTCTGGGGCGGGTGATGCCTCAGAAATGTTGGTAATTCTAGAAGGGTGGATGGAGGTCAAGGTGGGTGGTTGAGAAGCTTCATTGCTCCTTCGCATACAGTTTTCACCACGACTAGAGCACTTATTTTAATTTTCCTTGTAGTTTATTTTTTCACATGTCTACTTATTTTCACAAAAAAGTCATAGGTTTTATAAGGGCAGGGCCTATCGGAATCTCCACAGCATAGATTCTTGTATGAGGTAGATGGTCAATAATTGTTAAATAAAATAGTTGGGAGTGATAAATTTAACGATACCTGTTAAATCAGAAAATTCTTAAAATTCTGTCAAGAATTGGAAAACTGTTTATTGAAAATGGAGCCCTGGTGGTGCAGTGGTTACCAGCCCGTCTATTAACTGAAAGTTCACCGTTTTTGTTTTTAAAGTGAAAATATGATAGTTTGATCTACATAGGGATTGAATCAATCATGGT